GCATATGAATTGTAGCACCATTTTTTTTTTTTTTTTGGAAAGTAGTAAATGATGCGTTAGAATGACTAAAAAGTGCAATAGTTGCTCAAATAATAAAGTGATGAATAGAATATTATTCTTATAAAAAATATGACTAATAAATTAGATACCAAAAATAACTAATTTTAAAATTAGTTAAACAATTAAATAAGAAGAATTTCTAACTAAAACTAGAAAAAAGAAAATAACAATTTAAAATAAAATCACCAATTTATGAGATACTAAGGTATCTAGTTTTATCATTACCATTTAATATCGATTTTACATTATTATACTTTTAAAGATATTCATTATTTACGTAATAATAGAATTTTTTTGTCCTATTCAATGTGCTTTCTTAAGTTATAGTAAACATATTTTTATCTGTTAGCTTATTATATTTTTAAAAAGATAAAAATGCATTATATTTTGTGAAATTTCTTAACTTATATAGAAAGTCAAATCCACTTGTTATTAATGTTTAATAAATCATGCTGGTTAATTTTTTACTTTTTTTCAATAATGATATATATTATTACAAGTTATCGCATAAAATCTTATCTTGGTCTCAATTATACTCTCCGTGTCAATTTTAATGGGGATCAAACATTAAAAAACATTAAGAACAATAATATATACTTATCATTAATATCAATTCCAAAATCACAAAAATCATAAAAATCTATATCAAATTAATTAGGTTATATCATAGTTTTAATTGGCTTAATTAGTTTATAATAAAAATAATAAAATATGAAGTTATAGTTATAAATCAAAAGTCCATACCAAAATAAAAAATAAACTTATACGGTTCGAGCTTGAAATTTCTTATTTTTAGTTAAAAAAGAATTTCATTAAATTATTTAAATCGTTAGCTTGACTTAATAAATTTTTTTTAAAGTATTTTATGGAGAGGTAAAGATAGAAGATGACATTGACTATACTCAAACCTTAATTTAGGTGAATCTCAATTAGCTTGATTAACTTAACTTAAACGCCAAGGTGTATATGAGTTGAAAATTCTAGTGGTGATGAAACTTGAGCAGCAAGGCACAGCTAATGCCAAAACCATTGATATGCTTCTCTTTGTTTCTTTGGTCAAACTAAACCAAATACTCATATAATTAAACGGGAAAATGATTTATTGTGGGTGCTGATTATTGTCAGTTTCCCTACTTTGTCTTTTCACATTTGCTTTCTTGACTAGACAAGAACATCAATTCTTTTTTATCTATGCCAGCAGCTTCGTTTTAGATGACGAGATTAAGGTCAACACAATTATCAGATTAGATGATCATCCAATTGATTTAGTGCTATACACTTAAGTTTTATGCTTCACATTTAAATATTAATTAAGATTATAAAATTATATTTTACATCAATTTTCAGAGCTGCGGTGATGGCGTTGAGTATGCAGATGCACTTTTCTTCATATTTCCACTGCTGATGTTTCCTTTCAATGAAGTTTCCTTCAGATCAGTTTCACACTTGAGTATCAAGTTATAAACCAAGGTTCAATTTTCTAAGGAGCATGGAGAAGGCAATTCTTATAAATTTCTTTTTCTCAACGTGAATAACCTGTCAATCTATCAATGACTAAACCGACTAGTATACACAAGAAAAATTTAGTAATAAATCAGTAAGGGGGAAGGCTGAGTGATTTTCAAAGACTTCCCACATCCCAGTTCTCAATTCTTATCATCTCCCAACATGAAAAGTTTCAAATTTCTTTCCTTCATTATTCTTCTTCTTCACATTCTTCCCTCTTCTGACTCAATAAACTTTCAGATAACCCGTTTTGATCCCAATTCCAACAACGTTCTCTACC